AAAAAAAAATCAATAAATCTTTGCCTGACCCAGCATTAAAAAAAAGTGTTTTTCTTATGGAGACAGATGGAATCCTTTCTTTCATAACTCGAGCGGGACCCCTGAGAGGATGACTCGCTTTAGGGCTTATCTGCGGGGAAAGCCCCAGGGTGCTGGGGCCCCAGAGCCTGCGCCCAGCACCGAGGTCACCCAGAGGAAGCCGCTGCGGCCGGGGCCACAGAGCCACATCTTCAGAGTCAGCGACACATTCGAGATGGTGACTCAACCCCCAGAACAACAGGCCTGAGGCCCCCGGAGCAGGGACACACGATGCTGTAGCTGCCTGCGCTGTTGACGGCTTCTTGGTGCTGGCCAGCCTGGAGTGGACTGGACACGGAGTGACATGACGCAAGGCCGAGGAACCCAAACCGATGCACCCCGGGAGCGTGAGGGTTCTCTGGGCCTCAGGTCCTGACGGTCCTCCCGCCTGCGGCCTGACATTCTTTCTCCAAAAACGCCTCCCCCTTCCAGCCCACTCCCCTGTGGCTTCTCCCTGTGCGTGAAGAAGTTGGGTGACACCAAAGGGGACACGGTGCTGCCCTGGCACGAGCAGCAGTGAGTGGCTCTCCCTGCCGCCCTTCCTGTTTCTCTGTGCGTTTGAAATTATTCACAACAAGGCGTTGAAAAGAAAACAAGAAGGTCCCCAGAAGGCCACTGCAAAGTGCAGGTCCTGGGTCTGGAAGATGAGAACATGAGCCAGTTCGCCCCAACGCGTCAGGTCCCGGGAGGACAGCGGGAGCAGGGGCCTCGGGCGGGAGGGCGACGCCGTGTGCCCACGAGCGTGACTGTGCCCCCTCACCCCCTGGCTCCTCCGCGTGTCAGGCCAGCTAGAAGGCGCCGTGGTCGCTCAGTGAATACCCCAGGGGCCGCCTCCCTGCTCTGTCTGCTTCCCACCGGGCCGCGTGGGTGGGCCCCCAGCGGGACCCTGGACGTCATCCCCAGAGCAACGAGGGAGCACCCAACTCGCCTTCTGCGTGACCTTGGGCAACCTCTCTGAGCACAGCTGGGCGCTCCGGGACGAGGCGGCCGGCAGGCCTGGCCCTCGGAGCCCCCGGGGAGGGGCTGCTTCTCTCTTGGCACAGGCCCAGGCAGCCTCTTTTGCTTGGTGAGCAGCCAGATGGGGTCAGACACCCTCTGACACTCCTCCTGAGGTGCCTGAGCTGGGCTTTTCCCTTGTGCCTATTTTAAAACAACCGTCTCCCACCCTGTGAGGGCCACTTGTGAGGGCTGCGGGTTCAGGCCTGGCGCCCCTTGCCCGCGGGGACAGGGCGCCTCTCTCCCAGGGGGGTGGGCATTCAGGGTCCCGCACACAAGCCCAGCTCTTACTGGGGCCCAGATGTTCCTCCCCCGAAAACGAGCCTGGGGGCTGCTGGCCCCCCTCCAACCATGACCGACCCGCTTCCAGGGAGGCGAGAACTGGCACAGGGACAAGGGTGGGGGGCAGCCAAGCCGCCCTCGAGTTTGGGCAAGGGAAACGCTTCCCCACGGCCCCACGGGGCGTCCGGCCGTCCGCGGAGCACAGAGGCCAGAGGCCTGGCTCGTGCACACACAGGCTTCAGCTGCTCACATGAGGGCAGCCTGAGCTGACTCTTGGGACTAGGTGGGTGGAGGTGGGTGGCCAGGAGCTCCCTGAGTGTGGTCAGGAAGGGGCCAGGGACAGTGTCTGTCCTCCAGGCAGTTGCTACGGTGAGGCAGCCATGGCGCACCCCCAGTCCCATCATGTGGGGTGACACTGAGGGGCCCCGAGACACAGATTTGGTCGGTTTCTTTAAAATTGGAAAGGGACCTCTGTGATGAGCTAATCCAATGCCCTCGTTGTGACAGCTGGGGAAACTGAGGCCCAGAGAGGCGGGCAGTGAGCATGGGACTCTTGACTCCTGGCCTGGGGAAGCCGCCTGCGGGCGCGAAGGGCCCCAGGCTGCTTCTCAGCTGGTGGCTGAGGCTGGCAGTGACCAGCTCCCCATTTCCACCTATAGGGGCCCAGACTGTCAATACTCCCCAAGGCAACCCGGGGCTCAGGGAAGGTGGGGGCAGGGGTGCCCCACTCCCCAGAGGGAGCAGCCTGCCACAGGGAGCCAGAGTTGGCCAGCGCTGGGAATTCTAGAACCACAGGAAAAGTGGGAGTCCGGGTGCCTAGGCAATTCGCCCCCACAATGACAAGGGGGCGGGGGGCTCCAGAAAAAGAAAAAGTGGTGCCTGCGAGTGGAAATGAGTAGAAAGGCAGCGAGAATGCAGCATGCGGGGAGGCGGGGCCGGGCGACTGGGGGGCCGCCCGGGAGCAGGGTTAGAGGAGAGCAGCTTACTTCAGTAGTTTGATATTACACATAATCAGCTCCTTCCAGTTAACAAAAATCATAGCACCCTCTTTTTCTGTCAGCAGCTCAGACTCCATCAGGGGTTTCTGAAAGATCTACAGATGCAGAAAAGGAAGCAGTTCAGAAAGCAGTTAGCCGACACCTCCTCGCGCATGCGCCTGGCTCAGCACCGCAGGGCTCCCCGGGGCGGCCCCTCCCGGGCCTGGGGCCGAGTCCAGCAGGGTCTGCGTGGCCGGGGCCTCCCTCCAGGGAGCACAAGCCCCAGGCGCCTGCCACTGTGAGGAAGGGGCTCGGCAGGAAAAGTGGAGGCTTTAGGTGGGGGTTGGGGGGTCTTTGAGTGTCCCCTGCAGCCTCTGCTGAGCCCTGGGCACCCCAAAGGGAGCTCCCCCGGCTGCCCGACTCCCAACAAGACCCCGCCCCAGAGGGCTTCTCTCCCGGGCATCCCACGCTCCTCAGGCTGGGGCATCTCAGTCCCAGGGGGTCCTCGCCTCCGACACTCCCTGCAGAGGTCCTGCAGAGGGTGGGGGCCGGGATTTCCACAGGGTCTTAGGGATGGGCTGGTCTGTCTCAGCAAGAAACATGGGTGGGCGGGGCGGAGGCTGAGCCCCGGGGGTCCCCAGGCCTCGGGAGTCTTTAGGTGCATGTTGAACTTGGCACATACCAGGACCAGAAGGCCACACCCCGGGGTGACACTCACACCCCAGACATCCTCGGCTGTCTACATAGCAGCCGCCAGGTGCTTGAGAAAGGGACCTTTCCTGCAGGACGGCCTCTTGGTGGCCTGCAGCCCGGTGCCACACGCTCACCCCCTGCAGCCCAGCCAGGTTGAACTGGAGGTGCTGGGCACACCGTGCTTTCAAAGTGTGGGTGACCCTGACATCCGGCTGGCTCTGCAAACCCACTTCCTATAGGGTAGCTCCCTTCTGTAGGGACCAAAGTCTCCCCGAAAGCCTGGCTCCTAGCGCTGACTCTCCCCCCGCAGAGGCCAAGGCCCTTGTCTCTACCTGCCGGGACAGACAAAATGAGGGCGTGTCCAGGACAGGCGGCCAGGAGCGCCTCCATTGTCTGCGGAGGGCTATTCTCCGGCCATAGACAGCACACCGAGTCGCTCAAGACTGGCCAGGCGCAGCCCTGTCCAGGTGAGGGCCGCGCCAGGCGGGAGGCGCCCCTCTGCGGAACGGAGGCTGGCAGCTGAGCTGGACTCCGGGGCCAGAGCCGGACTCCTGGCTCTCGCCCCGCGGCCCCTCGCATGCAGCTCTGCGGGGACCCCGTCCCTCGCCATCCGTGGGCTCCGCGCAGACCTGGCCCAGGAGGCGCAGCGGTTGTCTGGGAGGAGAAACGCCTCTGGACTGACCCGGGTCGGCAAGCCTCGGGCTGGGGCCAGGACGCGGGGCCAGGACGCGGCGCTCACCTCGGTGACCAGCTGCAGGTCGTTCACATAGTTCTCCTCCGTGACGATGAGCTCGTGGATGTAGCCTTGCCGCTTCCGCTCGGTGGGGGTCAGCATGTCCAGCAGATGCAGGTCTGAGCACCCTGGAAGACACAAGCAGCGGCCGCTGAGTCCAGCCCGGGAAGCGCATGCGCGACGCTGAGCCTCGGGCGCCGGTCAGCAGGCGGTGCAGTGTGCTGGACTGCGAACCCCACCGCCGAGGCTCCTGGCCCCGGGCGTGACCGCGGCAGGCAGGGCGCCCGCTGGCGCCTCAAGCTGTGACGCGGCCGTCCTCAGTGACGGCGGACTGAGGCCCGGGCGACGGGCAGCGGCGCTGCACGCTCCGGAGCTAAGCCAAAGGCCTGGGAGCTCGGTCCCAAAGCCTGCAGCGGGGGGCACAGCCCTGCCCACGCCTTGATCTTGGACCTGCCGGGCTCCAGAGCCGAAAAAAGCAATTTCCACTTTAAGCCGCCCAGTTGTGACAGAGGACAGCAGCCCCCCGACTAACCCAGGTGACCAGCTGCGTGTCACCAAAACCACGACACTATGTT